TGTTTTTGAAAAATAGCAAGATGTCAAAACTGGTTTGAAGCTAGGAAACCGTGAAGTAATTTGCAACAGCAGATGTTGAACCGGTTAATTATGTCGTAAGTTAGAATTTAGGCGAAAATGTTACAAAGATTATTTATATATATGTAGTATATTACTTTCATGACATTATTTTATCCAATTTTATACAATTTAAATATTTTAATCATTTAAATGGAAACGAACGCATTATTTTTATGATTTGAATTTGTTAAAGGTTGAAAATTCAAATCTATTTATTTCTATTCTATACTATTTGTCTCCATAATTGTTATAATATGACATTATAGTTTTCTTGGAAATCCCTAATTATATTGGTGAATGAATGTTAGGGACCAAAATTTAATTTTCAAAAATATAGATTTATTGTATCTTTTATCATCTGATTTAAAAAAAGGTTATTTTTTACAATTTGTCCTTTTTCCCGGCACTGTCGTGCTTCCCATATGAATGTTGTTGATTAAGAATTTAGATTATTAAAAATAACTGAATTTATAAAACTGTATCAGCAGTTGATTTCAAAACTAATTTCTTCCAAATTCTGGTTTGATTTTTCTTGAATGTTTGCATGTTATTTCAGTATCATCATAAACAACTTCATTTTTGTCTAAAAAAATTCATTAAATAAAAAAAATTAATAAATAAGTATAAAATCTTTTTATATTAAATGTTTATTACCTTTAAACAATGATTTAGCTGTGGTAAAACTTTTTGGAGTGTAGTAGGTAAAGTCAATGACCTTTCTAATGTTTATTTAGTTGATTCTAATAACAAAAAATAAATTTATTAAAAAATATTATTAATGAAACTTGCCTGATGAAATACAAGTTCATTTCATTAAATCCAAATGCTTTATCAAGATTTAGAGAATTATTCTGTTGAATTTCGATACCAGGAAAAAACATTTTACGAAAAAAAACGAACATTTCTCATAGAAAAAGAAAAAAACAATTCGTATTAAATTAAAAACTATAAAGTGAAAAAAAAAATGCATCAATATATAATTTCTTGTAAGTTAGACAAGTTCAAGAAATGATTTATTGGTTCATTGATTTTTTTTTTGATTTTGCCTGGATGGTAGTTTTCTTTTTTATCATTATATTAACATGATTAAAATTTGATTTTTATCATATGGGGTGAGTGCTGCGAAAAGGGACCAAATTGAAAATTTTTCAAAAATTTATCCTAAGTGAAATAGATGTAACTTTATCGTTTCTTATTTGACATCCCAATTAATAAATTAATGTTATTATTACCATAATAATAGGACGCGTACCTGAGTCATTATTGATTAACGGACGCCCAAAAATTTGGATGACTTGTCAAATACAATTTTCAGGAATTTAGGTCATGTGAAAAGAACGCGTGCATACTATATTTGAATGAAGGTCACATGACTGATACAATTTAATATTTTAAAATTTTTATGGTCAATAACAATTAGGTTTATTTGGGTAATTTTCATGGTGTCATATATACAAAATTTAAAAATTGACTAATGGAACATATTGCAAAAATAACAAATATATCTCGGTGTTGTATGAAGTAGCTCGTTAGGATATCATCTAGATTCCTTTCCAAGTAATAACATAATAAAGAATAGAACTATAATTTTTTAATAAATAAACAAAATATAATATAACAGCATTTGCTAGGTATTTTGATACCTACTTTTCATACACTGCTTCATGATAATTTAATCATGGAAAGATCTGGGGGCTGCAAAAATTCAAAATAAACCCAGATTAAGAAAAGCAAAACACAACATCATCAGAATCATTAATATCATCATCATCAATAACGTTAACGAAAACGTCAACGGCATCGATAACGTTAACGTTAGTGTTTTCTACGGGATAGATAAAGACGTCATTTTCCTCCTCATCCTCATCCTCATCCTCCTCATCCTCCTCCTCCTCATCATCATAATCATCATCATCATCATCCTCCTCATCCTCATCCTCATCCATATCCCATTCTACCATGTGTTGTTCCGCGTCTTCATTGTCAGAATCGTAGGCTGCGTAATATTGACAAGTTTGCTCGTGATAATGGTTACCATGCTGACGGATATTTTCGTAGTCGCCTAGACACCTGTCACAATTGAAAAGTTTTTTTTAAAAAAAAAAAATATGAAAAAGCGATAAAGTTGTTTAAAAGAACGAGAAACGGTAAAAATACTTACAGCCAGCAAAACTCGTAACCACATCGGCAGCTCATGTGGTCACATCCATTATTCTTCTCAATAGAGCTGTGACACTTGGGACATTGCTTTGTGTGACGTTCATAATAAGCAGCATTAGCGGTATAATCCGTGGTGTTCAATCGCTCGGTGAACTGGCTACAGGTCAACCCAACGTGCCATGGAACGTCATGAGTGAAACAGGATTTTGCGCCACAAGCCTCACAAGTAATTATAGGTAAATTATCTGCAAGTGAGAGGGAAAAAAAGGTAATATGTTACCATGGGTCATATTAAATTAAAAAAGTTATTTTTAAACAAATTACCTCCCGTTGTGTGTTCCTGACCGGAACCGCATCTGGGTGCCTTGCACCAACGAAAGTCAGGGAGCTTACGTATGGCAGCGCGTAGTAGCAACGTGTCATACCTTATTTTATCAAGACCATTAATAATATATATTTAATAATAAGTTGCTGATAAAGTTAAAAACAAAGAAAATCAAAAAAAAAAATCATGGCACCTGTCGAATAATTCCTTTGGAGCCAATCTTCTTAAATCTTCATAAGTCAACTCTGTTGTACAACGAGACTTTGGACATCGCACTTGAACATTGTCACCTTTAGTATTCAATTCGGCTTCAATGTGTCGCTTGATACAGATGGGGCAAAGGTCATCATGACCACATACTGATGAGATTTTTTGAATTACTGTATAGTCTTCGCAGCAGATACTGCATTCCGTTTCCGTCATTTTTTTTTTTTTTTGCGTGTGAATTTGAAGTATTTGAAGAGTAACTTCCGTAGTTGAAGAAAATGTTAGTCAAATATATTTATATTAAAAAAACCAGCCCAACCCAAATTCGGTAACGGAACATTGATGACATTTTTATTTATGGCACGCCAACGAACAGGTTGATAAAATCGGCGCAGTTTATTTAGTTAGCAAAATTACATAATAATGTTTGCATGATTCTTGAAATCAAATGACTTTTGTACACATATACTAACCTGTTTTGAAGATAGTTCGAGTGATGGCGCAGCCAAAATAACAAAACTTAACACACAAGGATGACCAATTGTGTATTGTCTTCCAATTGTAATGGTAACGCAGTACAATACAGATACTCAAATTTTTTAATTGGATACCAAATTTTATGAATGTGAATAGATCATATAAATTAGTCAATCCAAAATTTAACGGCATATGATTCTTTTTAATAAAAAATCATCTTGCTGGAGCTGCTAATCATTGTACATTCGTAAGGATGTTTCATCTGAAAAAAAAATGATTTTCTTCCAATTATCGTGATGTTTTGCTACGCCCATTCAGCATCGCTGGATATATCATTTGTTCAATTTAGTTATCCGCTCGAGGTTTACATCATCATCTAGTCATAGGCACGCAACTTTTGTTAACTCGCTTAATTTATTTGCTAATTATAATTTAAATTGGTTAAACATTATTTACTAAAATTGTCTCTCATTACTGACTCAACGCATTCTCTGAAATAGGCCTTGAAATACAAAGCAAAGCGAAGTCTTTTTTAAATGGCATGAACAAATTTATTAAAATGATGTCATAAATGGCATATTTTCCAGATCTGTCAGAAAAATCCGAAATGTCAGAGCCGCAACAATTAAATTTGGCGCAGACAATTTTCTTAGTATTCGACTATGTCGGTAAAAAGTGAAATATGTTAGTCACACCGGTGATGCAAAATTATCACGTGAATTTTCGTTTTTTTGATGGAAAAATCGTTTTCATGAGTGATAATACTTCTGGGAATTTTAGATGATCTTTAAATAAGCTTCAATAATATCTATCTAACAGAAATTATAAAAAGAAGGACTGAAAATATTATTGTTAATTATACCAAGGTCCCATTATAGCTGAATATTGCAATTCACCTGACTTTCAAAGGTTCTCACTTCTTAATTTGGAAATTAAAATTGATATAAACATATCATATCCACTTACAAACCAAATTATGAACCTATAAGCCATCTACCTATCCAAAAATTTATTTATTAAAATTGTCAAATATCTGAATGGTAATTTAACTTTGAAGATTTCAGTTGCTTTATTAATGATAGTGATAGTATTATAATTTTAAATAATATAATTTGGTAAAATTTTATATAAAAAAAAAATGCTATTTATTTAATGATTTTTTTCAAATTTAAATATTTTAAATATTTATTTATAAAAAAATTTTGGTTTAAATTTTTTTTTTATAATGTTTATATATAATATAAAGGCATTAATTTATTCTTATTTATATTTTAAAAAAAAAATTTATAAAACATATATAAATTATATATTTAATAATATATTTATAATAAAGTTTTATTAGAATTGAAATGCAAATATTAAAATTAAAATAAAATATATTATTTTGATTAATTTAAAAATAATTTTTATTATTAATTATTAATTATTTATATAAAATATTTTATCAGACAAATTTCTAATATTAATTTATTTAACTAAGAAATATTTAAAGAATTAAAGAAGGTTTAAATTAAATAATTTTTTTGATAATTAAATCTCAAATCATTTTATATTATAACTTTATTAATATATTGTGAATTTTGTGAATTTAATTATATGATAATTAATCCATATAATATTATTATAAATAATAATTATTTTTTATGATTTTTATTATTTTAAAATTATAATTATTTCTTTAAGATAATTTTTTTATATTTTCAATTAGATAGTTTTGTATAATATTTATTAATTATAATTATAAATTAAATAAGATAATATTTGACTAATTTTAAAGCATTTATTGCTATGATATAAATGCTTTTAATAAAAATAAAGCAAACTCAAAAAATATTTTGTTGAATTAAATCTGAATATCAGAATTTATTTTTACTAAAAAATCATAATTAGCATATAAAATAAATTTAATTATTTTATAGTTTTTTTCCTATTTACTGCAAAACTTACATATATATTAACTAACTAATTTAAAAAATCAGAATTATTCCATTTACAATACAATAAAATAATAGAATAAAAAGTTGTATATTCTTTATTTTTATAATAAAAAATATTGCAAATTTCTTATTAAATAAATTATATAGGTTGTAATCTAAGAAAATCAAGTCTTGAGAATTTTTTATCAAAATTAAGATTTTAATTGCATTTTAATTTTTATCATTTGGATTAAAATGTAATAAGATAATAATTTTAGTCAAAAATTTATCAAAACTTGATATTCTTAGATAACAATCCATATATTAAAAAACTTAATTTTAATATTATTAATAAACTAATTCAAGTTTAAAATAAATGGTTAATAAATAAATGTAAAAAAAATTATAATTCATAATTATCTTATTATTTTTTTTGAAAATTTATATTCACATTTTATATGATCACAAAAGATTAATATTAATAATAAGAAGTGTGTTTTTTGTTTACAATCTAATAGCAAATAATGTTCAGCTAAAAATATTCCTTTTAGATTTCATAAAGTTTAATTACATTGTTAGTGATAGTCTTGTTATAACGCATGATACTGCGCCTAATCTAATTAATGAATGGTAATCATGTCAATCACGAATTTCAACTTTCTATCATTTCTCTATTTCTCGGATTTCACTAATTTCTTAGCGATCTCTAATTTCTCTAATTTTACATATTTCTTTAATATATTTAATATCTTTATTTTCTTATATTTTTTATATTTCTTTACTATCTTAAATATCTATTTCATATTGATGTATTTTATATAAATATCTTATATTTCTGCCTCAATAAATGGCAGAGTCGCTACCAATTCTCTAATAAATCAATAATTTTTATCTCTAAAACTTATCTTTGCTCATTAAACAATTCATTCTTCTTTAAATCTATATCAATAAAGATGACTTGACCCTTCAATTAATTATTTGTGTTTATTTCTTCCATAGTTTAGACGTACTAAACTTCTTGCTAGCAAATAATCTTTATTAGCTTAATGACGAACAGTTTAAACTTAACAACATTCTCTTATTTGAAAACTTAAAAATAATATCTTAAGGATATTTATATATGAATTTATTATTAAATCTTTTTTCTTAAAAGATTTTTTGGTATTTTTTTAAGTAAAAAAATTTTTTAATATTATAGTAATTTACTTATATTTTTACATTATTTTTTAGTGAAAATTTTTTTACTTATATATAAATTAAATTTAGATAACAAGTAAATTTAGTTAAGATTTATAATAACAAATGCAATAAAGAATATAAAATTATTATTTCTTAAATTTATCATTATCTTATATATTCTTTTTAAAAATATGAAAATAATTATAGTAAAAATTAATTATTATGAATTTTTAGAGAATTTTCCTGATTTAATTTCAATATTGATTTTTTAATAATTTATTTTTGTAATAATTATTACAAGATCATGAATTAAAGAGTTTAATTTCAAAGTATTATGATTTAAAAATTATTTCCATATAAACTACATCACTATCATACAAAAATTTCTAATATATATATTTATTTTTATTAATAATTAAATCTCTAATAATACCATAGTTTTTATTAGCGTATTAAGTTGATTAATTTAGATTTTCTATAAAGATATACTGTAACTAAGGGTGGAATTTAATTTTATTATCCTCAATTACTATTAAATATAAAGATCAAGATATAAGTCTTATTACAAAAGTTATTGAAAAGGTATATCATATATTATTTGTTTAATAATTATAAAATATTGATTATTATTTTGTATTTTTTAATTTTTTAATAGTTTAAAAAAAGAAATAAAAATTTACAAGTAGTTGGCTTATAAAAGAATGTGTAAAAAAACATCTACAACATAAACGAGATTATAATGTTTGTAAAAATAAACGTCTTCAAAAAAAAATGATAAATCACCAACATCATCATCACCAACTTCATCACCAATATCATCACCAATATTATTACCAACATTATTACCAATACTAACATCAATACCATCATCATTACCATCATTACCATCATTAACACCAGAAAATGAAGCATTAAAAAATACTAACTCTAACTTCAATTCCAACTCCATCAACATCAACACTAACACCAACACCAATGATAATACTAACACTAACACCAACACTAACACCGATACCAACACTGATACTAACACCTATACTAACATTAATACTAATACTAATATTAACACCAACATTAACACTAACATCAACACCAATACTAAGAAAGCAAGACTTTCAAAAGTTTATTTAGATTTAGGTAACTCTTAATTTTTTTTAATATATAATAATAAAAAAATACTTAAATTAATTTTATATTAATCAATATTAGAAAATGAAAATGAAAAT